TAAGTATTTGCTATTGACTGTTCAAATGCGGAGTTTTGCGCAGCGCAGAGTAACGCGTCCTGTGTGTGTGTGTGTGTGTGAGTGTGAGTGTGAGTGAGTGTGTGTGTGTGTGTGAGTCTATGGATGGAATACTCAGAGATGGGTTTCTCCGCCTGATGATGATGTGAATATTCATGTTTTGGCATTCTCGCAGATCACTTTTTTTGATGCCACACACACTGTGTTTCACTGGATCATTTCACAGTACAGTGAATCACACGTGTTGTTGCAGTGACTGATTTTTCTCTGTTTTATTGTTTTATTAACATTAAAGGGACCGTTCACCCAAAAATAAAAAAATACAAATTCTGTCATCATTTACTCACTCTCAAGCTGTTTTAAATCGGAATTAGCTTCTTTCTTCTGTTGAACAAAAGAAGATATTTTGAAGAATGTGGGTTACAAAACAGTTGCTGGTCCCCATTAGCCGCTTTTCCACTGTGGGGCCAGTGCGAGCCAGTGCTTTAAACGGGCCAGGCAGGGCTAATAGCCTCGGACCTGTAGCACCGAGGCCAAAATCATGCTGTGTTTCCACCGTCGGGCCAGAAGCTCCGCTGCACTTCACTAAAACCCACCCTTTACACGCCTCTCAGGAACAACGTCACGCAACCCTATCATTAGGGCTGAACGATTAATTGCATTTGCGATAATATCGTGATATGAAAAATTTCAATTTTTCAATCGCAGAGGCTGCGATTACACGGTCACGTGACACGCGAGAGTGAAGAGGTGTGTTCGACTTGAAGATCAGATCGGTGTATGACATCAAAGTACGGCGAGCGAATGCGGAAACGATCGCAGCACTGCTGCAGGCGCACCGCTCCTGGAGCGCACTGCCGGACCGCAATCGCGTGCAGTGTGAACGCTCTGATCCGCTAACATGGGCGCGGACAAAATACGCACCACAGACGGAGTGTGTGAACCTGGCGTTACGTTTGTATACCAGCCCGGTCTGTTCTGTTCTCGTGCTCCATTTAGGCACGCTGTATTCTGATTGGTTCGGAAAGCACACTATCGCGATTTTATGATGATTTCGATTAATCGCACAGCCCTAGTTTTGAACTAAACTTATTTTTAAAGTCTTTAATGCTGGTGTTGTAGCTGTTAACTTTATGAAATGATCCGCGGCATCCGGGCGGATGACGTATGAGGTCAGCGCTGCGCATGCGCCGGTTAGTCTCGTGAAAACCGACGTTTGTTAACAGGATCAAAGGAAGCAAAGTTTCCTTACTTTAGCAAAGGTAAACCAGTCTCCTCTTGGCTTATATCGAAATCCTCTGACATTCTTCTTTACAAATCCTCGTTTTGTACTTCTAATTAGTGACCGTTGTTTTGTTTTGATCTCTCCCCTGCGCTTCCGTGTTCGTCACTTCTGAGC